AAAAAAAAAAAAGGATCTTACTTTAATTCTGGAATTAGCGCTGGTGCTGTCTCTGTTGATGCCGGAACAGAAGGAATCCATATCAATCACAAAGCTATCAGCTTCCTCAGCCGAATACTTATAAGTGTTCATATGATCCGAAACCGAGATTCTCTGATTACTCATGTTCTTCTTCTGTTCTGATTCCAAAGCCTCGGAAGAAGAAGAACCACCCAAATTCTACAAAAACCAAACCCAACAACCCACAAGGATTAAGCACCCAGATTTTCAATGAAACAGTTGTAAGAGAGAAAAACCGGAAAAGAAATTCTTACCAACTCCGGAATTTCTTTCATTTCCATCACTTTCCAAGAGAAAAAAAAAAATGAAGGAGGAAAAGAAGGTATGTAACAATATATATGTTGAGGTTTGAGCGTAAAAAGTTGCGTATAGAATGGGGCACAGCTGAGGCTATTAAACTATACAGCACCTGATTGAACATGAACATGGACATGAACCCCATAAGTCAAAACGCTCAATTTAATACAAAAAATAGCATTAAAAAAAGAAAACATACCCGTGAACCATGACCCAGGTTCTTGAATTTGAGGATTAGTTGGGAAAAGTGATTGTGGCAGTGAGAATGAGCAGAAAAAAGGTGTTAATTTGTTGTGTCGAAAATTGTGTAGAAGTGGAAGAAACGAATGGACTTATAACCACTGAGGTTTTTGTCTGATTAGAAGTGGATGAATTTGATTGGAAGGAAGAAAGAGGAAACTATGAGAAGAGTGTAAGAGAAGAAGAGAGAGAAAGACATGGGCATCGTCATCATGATCATGTGGATTGTGGGGTTGAAGTTGAACAAAATATACATACATGAGCGGAGAGTTAGGAGGGGTATGAGTTTGATTGCAAAATCTCACGATTCTCTTTTCTTCCCCTTCTTTATAGTACAATGTTTTTCAATTACAAGTTATAACCTATGTACTTTACTGTGAAATGTGAATCTGTGACGATAAGTACACTTTGAAACCAAAATCGGGAGAATTCAGAAACATTTTTATTAATTTAATTAATTAAGTGAATCTAATAATTAATTTATATACGGTAAAATTTGCCCCCTTGGAATGAGTTGACTTGAATTCTTAATATTGTTGGACAGTAAAGGATAGGGATAATCCTTTGCTATTTTTGTGTCAATTACTTTTCTTTTAAAAAATAATATCTTAAATCTACGCTTTCATATGATTAAGGAAATGAATTTCAATCCACCATTTTAAGTAAACTAATAGTGTATTTAAAACTTTAGCTATAACAAGCGCATCGGATCCCTTTGCACTTACTTTCATATCCTCTTTTAATCCTTCTTCTTGTTTTTATTTATTGTTAATATCACGAATTTGGATAATAATTTGCCTCCATATAGTAAAGAATATTTTTTAACGAAACCTAAAATCCTTTTTTTTAACACCATGAAACCTTATCTTTGCCTATCCTTCCTTGAAATTAATACGTATATGAATTGAATTGCTCGTCTTAAAATCCAAATCATTTTAAAGAGTAAATTGTAATATCATTCGATAAGAATATTATATTGTTAAATTTTTTAATTAAAATATATAATTTAAATCACTTAAGTTATAGTTGTTAATACAAATTATATTTTTTTAATGAGAGATGTATATATTATACTACCCATCCTTCATATGGTAAAATATCAAATAAAAATTACATTTTTATCTCTTAAAGGTACATATACTATATTATTACTCTCCTATTATGTTAACTTAAGATTACTAAAAAATAATCATTATAAGGTTTTAAACAAAATATATATTATAATTCTTCTATTTTTAAATGTAGGTAAATTAATTTTAATTTTTTTAAATAAAATTTTAAAATACATTTCACTTTGCCACACTCAAACTCCACTCTCACCCTCATGTTCATACTTTCCTTCTCTGATCCAATCGAAACTCTAATCTCCCTAACGAGGAGTAGCTTCTCATAATTTGCAATCTTAACAATGACATCAATTTCATCCTCAACGATTACCACCTTAGTCAAGTCATTACCAATCGCCATCCTACCATGGAGGAGCTCGACATCACACTTTGTTACTCCCTCATTATGCAGGAACACATATCCTACAAGAGTGTCCATTACTTTACTAGTGTCACTACCAATGTATAGTAAAATGGAATATAATAAATATAATATATATATTTTTTTATCACAAATTTTTTTATTTATCAAAAATTGATGATAAATACTATTTTTAAAATGTTATAAAATGTTAAAAATGAAATAATAAAAAAGATTATAGGGACTAAAAGTGAAAAAAAATGATAAATTATAAGGACAAAAATTATGTTTAAACCTAATATATATTAACACACACACATACACACATATATATATATATAAACATTAATTTTTAATAATTATATTTTATTTTTAATATAAATATATTTATTTAAAAAATTCTATATTTAATATACATATTTTAATATTATATTAATTAAATACAATAAATAATACTTTATCATATAACATAAGCTTATTCAGATATTATTAAAATATTATATTAGTAATATTAATTAAATACTATCTTAATATTTATATATTATCTTTAATATATATAATTAATACTATATAATGAAAAT